AAATCAAGGCTCGATAAATCCGGTGAGCGTGGGGGCCAAGGAACTGGTCCACCACGCCCAATCCGCCGATGTGGGAATGATCTGTTCAAATGGCTACGAATATCCATCCAAAATGAGCAGGGGGCCCCATCATGTTGGAATCACATGTTACGCCTCATATTTGGTGGAATACAGTCAAGGAAATCGGGAAGAACCTGCTCGAAAGATCAAATAATTCGCGGCATTCAAATGGTCCGTTGGTGTCACGTATGTCTGGCATCCGATGGTGCAAACTTCGAGCATCTGTTGTAACATTCAATCTGTCGTACACAATTTGTATTACTGTCTAATAAATGTTTCAAATTAATCAGTCTTGTTTCTTTTCCCATCTTCTACCTCTGCTACCTACCACTTAACCCTGACATTTCCGGGTATAGGTGTAAGGATCTTAAGTTTTACTAACGTTTATTTTATTTTAAATCTTTACTATCACTTCTTATTTTCTACTTCCGGCCAGAATTATAAGCGTTAAGGTTTTTATGCAAAGTTTGTCTGGCGAACGCCAAGTATTTAAGTTGTGGCTTTTTGCCAAGCGAGAGAGAGGAAGGAGTGAGTCGAAGCAGGCCGCTTACCTTAGAAGTTACGCAGTTGCTTGTTGCCTTCCAGGCCAGAGGTTTTAATCCTCTTGATAAATTTTAAACGTATTGTAGTGTTCACAGTTCTCTGTACTACATACGCTTCCTGTTAATATAAGGCCAATCTTCCACGTTTATTATTCTAAAGTTAAATTAGAGTTTAGTTTTATTTTTATACTTTTACGTTTTGACCCCAAGTAGCGGGTCGGTGTATTCCGAAGTACGGAAGTCATTGTAAATAGAGAAAAATAAAGGGTTTTGTATACCCTTCTTGTGTATCCTGTTTACTTCCCACAGTTTTGAACATAGCTTTAGTAAGCTCTCTGTTCCGAGTCAGGTCCTTGCATGTTCCCGAAGAAGATTAGAAGGAACAAAGACCCTAATATAGGTTCCTATGCAATTCTTAAGTCTTAAGATATGGCCAACGGCCCTAGAAGTTTGTCGCAACATTTACGGTACACCATGTATAGCTTGTTTTGCATACAGATAGTATTGCACAGCTTATTCTGTATTCAGAGCAATAATATAGATAATTTAAATCTATATATTTCAGTGTTTTAATTTTTTAAATATTTAAAACTTGCCTGAGATGTTCTCAAAATATCATTTTCACCATTAACCGTATGTCGGGCGCGTAAGATTTTTCATTGTTTTCGGAATAAATTGGATTATTTACATTAGAGCTATAGTTATAAGGATATCATCTTGAGGAGAAGGATGACTGCATGTACATTTTAAATTGCGCCAGAACCCACCGGAGCCTGAGTGCAGATTCTTCACACTATTTAAGATAAATTATAACTTAGAAGGCTTTTTCGAATCCTAAATAAGATAATCTCTGTTGCTGCTGTTTATGAAACTGACCAAGAATAAGTGACATTTGAATGCATACTCTGGGAAACAAATCATTCCAATGAAAGTTAAGATTTTTATTCCAACGGCGAGTACTGGCCTATAACGGCATTGCCTATCACTAAGGCCAGAAGTGGTGGCCATTTTATTTTGGAGGCACCTAATAGGCGGCCAACGCTACCTCCTATGAAGGGACAGCCAATTTTACATCCATGCCTTCTGCGGGATTCGCTCCCCGGTCCCGTCGGTATCCGCAGTCAGGCTTCCCTGACAACTATACCGTCTGGAGAGCGAAAGTTAAGAAATTTAAGGAAAGAAAATCCCCCACCCACATTTCGAAATCTTACCTTGTAGGAAGTATTATAAATTAGCGAGAGGTCTTTTGGAATACCGCCAATTTTCCCAAATGCCCCCAAAATCCAATGAACATATGTAAAAAACATTCTGAGAAAATTATTGACTCTACCAAAAAAACAGCTCTGGATCACCTGGCGAAAAGCCCTGAGTAAATAAACAAGCATGAGTAACTATCTTCGAGAAAATTGCTTCTCCTCATTATAGCTCTAAATCTGGACTAGAAAAAAGCAGAAATATTACCAATAATGAATTATTCTCTGCTAAAACTTCTGAGAGGCCAAAAGCCTCAGTGAAGAAAAACGCTAAATGTTCAAATAGTATGTCTGCTACTTTCGCGGATATGCTTAAAGTTTACTGTGAAATAAAGTTAATCTTTTAAGAATTTTCAATTTTTGATGTTATCAAAATTATGACTGGCAGACTTAATGAAATAAGGGAAACTCCTTCTTCTATTGACAAGCTATTGTGTTATTTAGTATACTTGAAGAAATCATCAATGGGGAAACTTCGGGGAGTTCCATTTAAAGTATTTCTCTTCTTGATATGGTTACTTTACGTGTTTTGAAGTTGCCAGTAGTTTCATTTTTTAGCGTATCTGGTAATTCAGCATGTGGTGTGCATTTGTAGCCAAATTTTGCGTTTTACATTTTGAACCGTTTATGATTTTGCATTATTTTAAATTTTGTTATGATGCCTTTAAGACTCGTACTGCCTTTACATGTTTAACTTGTCTTCTGTTTACATGCTCACCAGTTCGACAGTTCGATTTACAGTTTTCGTTTGTAAAAGTTCTATGTGATCGCAGTATTTTTATGTCATTCCTCATATTCATATTTTGTCATTCCTCAGTATTTAGAAGCGCCTCCGCTACTTGATAGTAAATTCGAAAGTAATGGACCATAGACCAGGTATTCCAGTGTTTGCACCAGTCCAAGAAAACGGAGGTTTTTTGGGAACATGGACATTTCTGAAGGACAATCTGATTGTGCAATTGATTCAATATTAGTGGTTCAAATATGCGCGTTTTTGAACAAGACAGGGAAAGGAAACCGACGTCTGTATTCCTACATGGGAGCCAAATCAACAGCGACTCTACTATTCGAGTCTGTGTTGTCCAAATAAAAACAGGCCTAGTAAGATGAAACGCTTTCGGCTTGATGTAATCAAATAGGGGAATAAAAACTAAATACGAGGGCGATATCTGGTGGTGCGCTATAAAGCGACTCCTTGTGATACCTGGTGTTGGCTACGTTTTGCTATTTTGCGTATTACTGCATATAGAACTAAAAACACATTTATTATATATATCTAGGAGCAGCTCTTTTAAGACTAAAATAACGACACTTGGCAAAATTGAAAGCAGGGAAAAAAATTATTTGTAAAATAAGTGTTATTTTCATTATGCGAGGACCTTATTAGCGCAAGAGTCTCTCTAATTGGTAATCTAAGAGCATCCTTGGTTTGGGTCTGTCTGAAACAGTTTGCAGACAGTTTGAGTTAGCCACGCTGTACCAATTTTTGGATTGTTTTTTGCATTGCCTGATGCGTTACATACGGAGACGATATTAGAACAACTGTATCGTTCTTGGGTCACCTCTGAAATCGAGAGGCTTTGATGACAAACATAGTGCAGATCTCTAAAATCTCTTGACATTTGTGAAGTTATGATTTGTGTAATGTTCAATAGCGGCATTATTGAAACCAATGTCAGCGCCAGGGGCGCAGCTAGAAGGGGAAAGAGGGAACATTTTAGCCCGATATTTATTTAAATCCCCAAATTCTCTAAAATTTTGATAATTATTTGATAATGCATTCAAAACATATATTTTTGTACTAACACCCTGATCTTATATAGGAGTTTTACAATTTTTAAAATTTTATTTTACATATCGCAATTTTTACCACCAGTTAATTTAAAACCATCTCCAGGTGGACCAGTTTTTCTTTTATCATAAAAGAGTGGATAATCAGCAATCATTTATTAGGATGAAAACACCAGAATGAAATCCTTCGGATTAAGGATTTAATAATAAAGTGTCTTGTTTATTCATATTTAATATGATTTTATTTTTTCTTCTATAATAAAATAAAGCATACAGGTTTTCGCAGTTTCGTGTTTTAAATCATACCGAAAGTTTAATGTTAAATTTCCTAAAGTTGTGTAATTTTCATGATGTGATAGAGCAAAAGGAATAACAGGATATAATTTTCCATATGATAAGTAATCCATCATATATCCTGTTTCTTTGTTTCTATTTTTCGTAGTTTCTAGAAAAACTTCATAGGGTTTATTCCATTCTTTATTAGAAAAATCCATGTTACATTTTTCAGATGTTATAACTTTTCCATTTATTGCAACCCAGCATTCTTCCATATCTAAATGATAAAATAGCATATTATTTTTTAAAATTTTCTTTATAATTTTATAATTTCTTAAGATGTTCATTCTAAATATTGTGGAATAATGAATAATGTTAAAACTTCATTAGATGTGGGATACGATCCACTTTTAGAGTTTTTAGTTTTATTTGATTTTTGAATTACATACATTGATTACTATAAATATATATTCATCTATAAGCTAATAGTAATTCTTTATATAATAATTCTGCTTTATTTGTAAATTTAACAGATGCTAAAATTAGAGTTAAATCTTCAATTTCTATTTTACAACTAGGATTTGCAACATCCAAATATATCATATATTCATTATTTTATTTCTTTCAAATTCTATTTTTATTTGAAAAACTTGTTATTACTTTCCTGAAATAATTAAAAAAGTCAAAGATTTGATCTAGGGGTACCCACATTGTATTTTGTCATTTTCCATCTTTTATCAAATCCTTCGAAAAAGAGGAAGTACGTCATCCTATTACAACCCTAAAGGAAGAATTCAGGATTACCATAATGACCTTTTTTCTCGTTTCCTTTTTGTCTTTTCTCCGAACGTATTTTAAGCAGGCTTATGAAATTTCAGAACTTAAAAAAAAGAATTGCAATACTCAGTAAGCATGAATCTAACGCATATTTCTAGCGACGCAAGCGCATGTCCAGTGCATTTGATATTACATTGCTGGACTGAAGCATAAACATCGCGCAGCATTAGCTTTTTGGGAAATAAGCTATTTGTGAAGTTTCCTGACTGTACGTTTTCGTTTAGTTTTGGGTCTTTAGTGTTTTTATTTAAAATTAAGGAAATTGTTTACATAAAATACTGCCGCACGTTTTCCTAATTAACTTCCCTAGTTATGATCTCACGTGGCAATAGTGTTTCTACTCAAGTATACTCTTCTGGCAGCGTGGTATCGCTCGAAATTATGATGGCTTTGAATGGTAAAGACTTTCTTTATATGACTGTTAATCGATATGTTATAATTATTGAGTATCGGCGGAATAAGGGATAAGGGGTGCAATATTTGTGTGTTAATAATTTTGAAACGTATATTGTTTAAAATCGCCTTTTCAACATACTATCGTTATCTCTCTACAAAATTGTAGGTATCTTCGTTATTCACTATATTCATTGCATTATTAAACTATCATTAAGCAGAACAAAATGGTGTGTATCTAAAAGAGTTCCTGTTAGCCATAATATTTTCTTATAGCGAAAAGAAACTTTAAAACACGAGTTTGCTAACAACCCTTTTCGGCACGCTACCTTAAAGTTACAATGCCGACCAAAAAAAAAAAAAAAAAAAAAAAAAAAAGCAGTCTAATCAGCCCTAGAGGAGTACACAGGTAAATATTTGCGAAAATAGCATTTATTGTTTTAATTCTGTGGGTGTACCTCGAAAAGAGTGCTGAAACGAGCATTTCTCTCAATGCTGGGAAGCGCTCGTAAAAGAGTAAGAGATTTTGTCTACGATTAAAAAAACACTAGCAGATTTAGCCGTATCCAGCGTGTGCCATGGTTAGGCCTGCTCCTCTTGACCCCCCCAAAATGCTCTTCTTGCTTATATGAAGATTACATGCGTATGAATGGAAAAATGAAACTTAAGTATATAATTTTTACGTTATTTACATTTCATATTTACACTTTCATCTAGTATTTTTTTTTTACAGTGGGTCAGCCCTCACCAATCCATTTGGAAAACAAAAATCTGAAAAAATAAACTGATATTATATCTACAATTTGAGGGATTTCATCCGCAGAGAACCCATTGGCGCCGTTGCATTTGAGCGAGCCGTAAACATGATTTTTAGTCCATGTAAATTCAAGTTAGTAGATAAATCAATATATTAAGCATATTGTAGTAAAAATTCACAGGTAATAAGCATGTAGATGTAAAACTAACTGGTTAAACGTGATATACGAAAATTGTATTAAATTCCAGTTAACACAGAAAACAATATATTCCTTACTCTAGCAGTGGTTTGCTAATTTTGATAACCATGGTGTTGCATCAAACTATTCCGTCATCCTAGATAATGAATAATATTTTTTTATTTCAATTTAATCATCAATTTATGTCACAGCTGCCATCCTCTAAAAGGTTATTGTTAGAAAAGCATTAACAATATATTATCTTGTTAAAATTTTACGCCATAAAAATTAATTTATTCTCAGAATTTTAGATGACAATAACCAATAATAAAAATAAAAGCGTTACTTAATTATTTAAAATGCACATGCACATTTTTGCGGTCTACGAAAACAAATTATTTTAGACGTTGGAAACCTCATGGTTCTTAGAGCTGTTAATAATTAAGAACACAACGTAAACAGCCGTGTTACAAATTAGCATTCACCCCTCCTTTCATCCCGAACCGAGAACCGGCATCTATCTACGAAAATATTTCTATCTATTCGTTGTTAAAAAATTCAGAAAAAATAATAATAAATAAGAGAAGAATAATATAAATCTGCAAATGCGAACAACGACTGTGATAATTCAACAAAATAAATGCAAGAGGAATAGTTGCACACTTCGAACAAGTGAATAGGATATATCCGATGGGTTACCAGGTTTGAACTATTATCGCCAAAGTTGGCGATGTTTACATTTACCGGGTTCTCTGCGGAAGTGCTTCCCAATTTGATATTATAAGCTATAAAATAAAATTAAATGTCTACAACTCAAAACTGTTAAATGTAGGGATAACAGAACTTCTTTGAGCGAAAGAGAATTGCTCTAGTTAAAAAAGGATCAATTAACTTATAAAATTACCCCTGACCTTCAGAAAATCACACCAACAATTTCTTAGTTAACCAAACGTCCCTTCCAAAAAAGGAAAAGAAAAACAAGGAAAGGAAACTAAGTGCAGACATGGACCCACTTTTCTGTTCCGAATGAGCTGCAGAGAAACGAAGATACAATTGATGGTCTTGTCTTAGTCTCTCAGCGAATCCACTCTGTGTACACCTGATGTTCACCATTCGATTTTAGGCAAGATTAGGAGATTAGCATGCAGCCAAAAAAATAACATAGAACTTTCTTTTCAAACAATTCCTTTTATATCGTAAAAAAAAAAAAAAAAAAAAAAAAAAAAATCTGGAAGATTTCTTTGAAAAATGAGGGTCTTTTAAAAACTAAACATGGTTAAAATATATGGACCAGTTTGTGTTGGACTGCCATCTGCTATAAATAAAAGAAGATTCAGAGTAATCTACAAGTCCTTTTCACTATATTTTTCTCTGGGTACAGAAGGAAATTTTTAGGTGTGCTGCAAAAGGTTAAGCTGGACCATTTCCAGAAATCCATAAAAATTAATGGCACTATTTGGTTTTGAGGGAAGTAAAAAACCTCCAAACTATTGTTGATGCCCATGCTGCCAAAAATAATTGTGGCAAGAAACGAAGTATAATAGTAAATAACTAAGATTGATGTTTTAGATGAAAGGTTACTATCATATAATGCTTTTTTATTATTATAATTTATATGAAAAAGGCTAAATGTGACTGAATGGAAGCATAAGAGTAAATAACTATTTCAGATCATTATTATAATTTATATAAAAATTGCTAAACATAACTGAATGGATGCCTGCATTGCTATGCTACCGACTTGTCACTAAAACATAATTTCATTTCGTTGGTTGTTCAAACGTAATTTTGTAAACTGGTTTCGTTTGGTTTATTAGATTACGGCAAAGCACTCGAGGGCTATCTACCTTAAGGGAGGGATGCCTTCGTGGAGGACATTTGAAGGGAAACTGGCTCGTATACATGTTACACATGGGGAAAACTACGAAAACACCCATGCCCCAAATTAATCTGTAGGATATTAAAAATGTTTAAAATCAAAAAAGGATTTAAAAATTAAACTAGTATTTCAATGGCGCCTTCAGAAATATAGAACTATATATAAACTTATGCAATCTGAAATCAATGCGTATGCTAGATTTGGCGTGCTGTTAAATTGCCGCATTTGCTAGATTTGGCGCTTTTATGCATACATTTCTGCTGCAATTTTTTACTTTCCTCAAAATGGAATAGTACCGAAATAATTACAAAAAGAGAATAGTTTTAAACAGTATTTGCAACTGCATAGCTCTGCCCTTTTCTGTATTCTGGGTTTTCTATGTGAGTAATATTTAAGTGAAACAGATTTTGTTCTTTATTGTATTTCACTTTTTGTGGTTTTTACCTAAGATTTTCATTACATTTGTTTCAAGTATTTTTGTATTTTAATCTTTAACAAGTAAGGTTTTATATGATGCTAAGTAATTTTATTGGCTTGTTCAAATTTCATAAATTTGGGACAAAAGAACATTGCAGTGTTCATGTCTGTACAAAGCAGATTTATGCTATATTTCGCTTTGTATTTAGGGAGATATATATGTTATAACTTATTTTGTAATCCTTGTTGTCCAGCTATTGGTTATACAGTCCAAAGTCGTTAATCCGGAATCGTCGGGACTTCGGTGATTCCGGATTATCAATTTTTCTGGATTATAGATCATCAGTTTAAATCTTGTAAGATGGCATGCAGAAATTATAAAATTAAAATATGAAACCGTAATTTATGAAATAAAGAGCAATTATGATCTAAAGGGTATCAAAATTTACAAAAAAATGGTTAATATTTATTTGTTTACTTTATTAAACATTTCTTTCAATGTAAGTTGTTTAAGTTGCTTCGTTTTTTTATGTGATAATACTTTCTCTTTAATTCTATAAACAGACATAATTTCTTGTTCAGTTACAAATATCCGCTGTTCAAGTCCTATAACTGCTGTTTCGAGAATACCGACTAATTTGTCAATCGAAATTTTTTCGTTTTCAATAACCTCTGTTACTTTCTTCGCTATTGGAAGCGAATTATAATGGCGAGGAATTTGATTTAAATCATATCAAAGACGGAGTACATCGAGATGAAATACTACATTTAGTAAGGAATTATAAGCCAAATAAAAGAAAAACATCTGCCCTGAAGATAAGGATAGTGCTGACAGATCAACTTCCAGTTCATTGCGCCTTGTGATGTTCCTCCCCTCCCCCACACACGCAGAGCAGCGTGAAATTGATAATCAGATTTCGGAATGGTTAGATAAACAAATCCATTAACCTTTATCCATTTTTTGCAGCAATTCCACTTTTTGTTTAATGGACTTCGAAGCATACTTTCGCTTTGTAGATCCTTTACATATTAGTAAATATATATCAGAAATTCTATTTGACATAATCGAAAGTTCAAGCTTACTTTTATAAAATTGCTCTAACAGTCTGCAAAAAAATAATAAGCTGGATCCAATTCGAAGATTAAGGAACAACGTAATCTGCAACATTAACTGAATTAGATAATTTTAGCTTAGCTTATACTGTCCGTTATACATTAAACGCACATTTGTAAACATATTTTGCTAATGCGCATATTCGCAGCCTTAAAGGTCTTACGCGCATGCGTCAACGCAACACATGCGCAGAAAGTTTGTAGCTTTGAGGTCCGGATTATGGGTGTTTGAATTAACGACTTTTGACTGTAGTTATTTAAGTTCATCCTCTAGTTTGCATATTGATGTGATGATTTGTATTTTTTCTTTTTCTAAAATTAGTTCATTACCTTATCCAGTATAAATAGTTAGAGTAAGGTAGCTGTTTATTATTCTTAAGTTTTAATTTGATGTGGAAGATTTTTGTTTTCATGATCCTATTTTCTAGAATTTCGTAATTACAAAGCTTTTAGTAAGTAGTTGTTTCTTTCTGTTGAGTGATTGGATTAAGCTCTCAATTCTCTTGACATTTGACTCAATAAGCTAGTTGAAACTTGAAAACAAAGTTATACTGCTTGGGAGTTAATGCATTCAGCAAGGAGCGTATATATCAGCAATTTAGTTCATTGCTTTGTCCAGTATAAATACATCCATGTGCAAAGTAAAGGGAATTTTCATGT